CTTATCCTGAACATTTTTTTTATCGTCCAAGTTAAGCATTAAGAGAGACTTAGCGACAAAATCGAACAAACAAGCGAATGCGAAATGGGGAAAAATAGATTTTTTTCAAAATATTTTTATAAATTCTACACGAAAAAATAACTATGTGACTTTGACTCGGACTTTCTAAAAAGGTATACCCAAATTTTGAGTAGAATTTACAAGAAGAGCACCAGAAAAAGATGTCGTTTTTCGTCGAAATCATATATCGACTGTAACTCTTTCAGTTCTGATCTGATCGGAAAATCGGAAAATTTTAAATTCCGTTCGTTCGATCGGGAAAAATAGTTTACTGGGAAAATGAGGAAATATCGATTTTTGCCAACCACAAAATAATTTGTCCTCACCGAACAAGAGCGTTTAAAAATTTTTAGACGTGATATGCTTGATCAGCATGGCTGACTCCACAAACGAACACGAGTTTGAGGTGAAATAAAAATAAAAAGAGTTACATTTTTTTCTATGGAATGGAGATCATTTTTTGTTTGACAGTACTGAAACTCCCGTGTTGAAGAAATGGATTTTCAAAAAAAGTTGTTTCTTTATGGAGGAAGTCTTTTTGTTTTTGAAAGGAGTTGCTGAAGAAAAAGTGTTCCGCAGTTATTTTTGGAAAAGACCATGTCACTGGCGACCTGATGATTTTGGTAAAACTTTTTACTAACAGCTTTTTTCACCATCAGGTTCTGTCTCTGTCTCTTCGTTTTTTTTCCGTAAGGATTGTTCTTTCTAATTTTTACATATTTACTTTTCTCTTTTGTTGAGTACGTCCCAAGATTCGGAAAACAGATTTTGGAAAGAAATCCGGAGGTCGAAAATCTGAAAAACAGTATCTCGAACTCAGAATCCGGAATTAAAAAGATGAAAAACGAAGATTCGGATTTTATTTTTCAAAAAAAAGAGCAAAACAAACTCGGTTTTTTAATCGGCGGTCAGCAGTTGGATTCTTTTAGTCTAAAAAAAGCTGCCAAATTGTAGTAATATAGGACCGTGAACATGCGTTTTTCTACGAAAGTTTTCTATTTTGTAAAACGCACTGGTTTGCAGGATTCACTTTTTTCGGTAAGATACTTCGCAAACATCCACTACTGAACAGTTATTGTATAAAAAAGTATCTGCGTACAATCACACAAAAAAATGCATTTTTCTTCTTTGTGTTTTCTTAAATGCGATTTCTTTTTTGGTTTTGTATTCAAGATCTTGCGACACCCGAATTTTTTTTTTGTACGACAGTTCAAAGTTAGAAAATAGGGCGCCCCCTCTTCCCTCCCCCTTAACCCACTTGACGACTTCCAATCCGCCCAAAACCCATCATTATTCTCTCCCGCGAAAGTCAAATAGAACGGACGACCGTTTATCTTCCAGTAGTTCTCATGCGACGCCGCAAAGTGAAAGCGAGCGAGCGCATCTCTGTTCATCCCTAACGACGAGACGTCGAAGGAGATGAACATGAAGAAGTTTCCGTTCTGTTTGGCTGCTACAAGAGCTTTGGCCACTCGGTCGGGCTGCCGGTCGTCGATGCCGACGTTCAGGGCGAAGCCGTCGATGCCCACCGACTTGGCTCGCTTTATCTGCGTGTCGAAGTGATGGATGTCCGACGGGTAGGCGAAGCCCACCATGTAGTGGGCGAACACGCACTTCTGCGCGTGGACGACATTGACGAGGAGGAGGAGGAGTACGACGGAAAACATTTTTATGGCGATGAGAATATCTTCTCTCTTCAGGGTGTCATATTCTTTCTTTCTCTTTTTTAAGCTTTTGTTATCGCATCGTGATACCTCGAGTGGGAGGTGTGTTTGACGATGTAATTTAAGAAATAAGGAGAAAGAGAGAGCAGAGTCACACTCAACGCAGGCACATTCTGTTACGTACTTTTTCAACTCTGTAATACTAAAGCCGTTTCTTGACTCTACTAAAGTAGAATGTTTGACCTTTACTTCTCTTCTGTATATAGATTCAAAACAGAGCAGCGTCGTTTGTCTTTTGAGAAAACTGCTTTCGCACAATTGTAAAAAAGTCTTTCGCCTTTAGGAAGAATATAAACTTTCAAATAACATCACCGAAAACCAGGTATTTTCGAGACTTTGAAAACTAAAGTGTGATCAAACGAGATGCATAAATAACTAGAGACAAAAAACGTGCAAAAGAATACAATGCGACTATAAACGTTTTTTATTTAAGTGACCTGTGCGTGCTTAGTAGTGATTGTGAATACGCATAGACAGTTTAATGTTCCTCGAATCTGCCACAAACTTATCAGAAAACTTTCTGCACTGACAAAGACACATGACGTTTCGAACATTCTTCCTTTCATTAATTTGAAGTTACACTTTTTTCAATGTAATAAAAACTTCATCATTAATGGAACAGCTCTGAGTTTTGGATTAAAAGAATAAGTGTAACCGTACTGTGTGTGAACCTTTTCTTTCGAACTGCTTCTGACAAAATGTGTGTTTGCTTTTTTTCCTGTTAAAATCAATGTGTGTCTGTTCTGTTCGCTGCTGAGAGAATAAGAATTCTTTCAGTTGAGCAGGTGACGAGAACAGAAAGAGAGCACTCGAAGTTTTCGCGGAAAGAAGAACATCGCCGCTAAAAGTCGCCGTCTTCTTTTCACCTCACTTGTTTGACTCGCTCGCTTCAACATCTTCTACTTTACGCAAACATGGCTGCTGACAGCGAGAAGAAAAAACTTCTTCACACGATACTAACAATGAAGCAGTTAGATCTTAACCCCCAACAGGCTGAAACAACACTAGCAGGGAAAGTTCCTTCTAACTTATCGTCCCAAACTTCATCCGCTACTACAAAGAAGCATGAAGGTGCAACGGCTTCGGCCGTTCTATCTCACCACAAGCCACTAGGTGGTCGAAAACGCCCCGTGACTAAAAAGAATGTTGAAGACTTTGTCGTCTGTTGGCTCGACGCCTCCATTCAGGATAACTCCGACTGCCAAAAGTCTCTCACCCACCTTCATCAAGTGGTCTCCAACATCCAGACGTTCACCGAGTCACATCACTGTCTCGAGTTCGTCAAGACAGTGGAGAAAGAGAAAGTGTTTCTCATCGTCTCAGGTAGCCTTGGACGTACGTTTGTACCCGAGGTGCAAGCTTTCTCCCAAATCGACTCTATATACATATTTTGCTCCGACGAGGAGAAACACAAGCTATGGTCGAAGGAGTACGCTAAAGTGAAAGCAGTGCTAACTCGTCTTAAGCCATTTTGTGAACGACTAAAGCAAGACACACAGCAGGCAGAGTTAAATATGACTATGATCAACGTTATGGGAGCGACAACAACGTCGGTCGACAATCAAGAGAAAGTCGACTTGAATTCACTTGACCCGTCATTCATGTACTCTCAAGGGAGAGTTCCGATTTTGGATCTACCCAGGAAGGGATAAAAAGGTAAGCTAAAGAATATATATACGTGGTATTCGTTCAAGAAAGAACTTCTGAAAGAATGCATCATCGAAATCGAGTATGATGAGCCACAGAAACTAGAAAGTTTAACCGAATATTGTCGAATGCAATATTGTGAAAAGAAAGAAGAGCTGAGCGTTGTTGAAGAATTTCAGCATCACTATCAGAAGCGATCGCCCGTTTGGTGGTAAGCAGCCTTATCCTTTCGAAGCATTACAACAATAATGCGTCGCTCCCTTCTCAGGTACACGCGTGAATGTTTTCTGTACAAAATGCTAAATAAAGCTCTTCGAACAAGTGACGTCGATGTCATCCTCCGAATGGGCTTTTTCCTTCAGTCTCTTCATCGACAAATCGAACACATTCATTCAACGTCCCCCTTCACGTCTCAGTTTCGAGTCTTTCGAGGACAAGGGTGAGAAAAAAACTGCAGTAAAAACTTTTCTAAGGGTTTTTAAAGCGAAACTTTATAGCGATGATCGTTGTATCTTTTATCTAGGCAGATCAAAAACAAAGTCCCGAGGTGTTCAAACGAACTACAGATCGTAGGACTTTTGTGAAAATGATGAAAGGTAGCGGCGGGTGTCTAGATGTACCGTTTCGAACCTCCTGTCCTATCCGACCTTCCAGTCCCTTGCTAGAGCCAGAACGGTGCACCCACTGAGTTCCTAGCTGTCTTTGCTAGGCGCAAAAACGCGAATAGTGAAATTAGTTTAAACTGAATTGAACTCCATCATTTTCTTTCTTCTTCTTTTTACTCCGTTTCTGTACTCATGTATTTTGTCTGTTGTTCAGCCATACGTAGGCGAGGATGCCGTCGGTTCTTCGTCGATGCTTACGTACCACGTTAGGATGATCGGCTAGACTATTTGATGCTGGAGGAAGGATCGGAGGGATAAAAAAAGGATAGTGAACTAGCTGCAGGCTGATCTAAGTTCGTAGAATGCGCTTCTCCTGCGGTCATCGGAGCAATGTATTCATATCAACAGACATTCGGTTGCGCGTACTAGAGTTTCTAACACTTTCGAAAGGCATTACAACCACCTTCGCTTTCCGCCCTCGGCATTGCCGAGTGCTTTCTAGTTTTAATACATGTTTGCAGAATGTCCACTGCGGATTTCGAGAAGATGAACAAGAACGTGGGCGGTCTTCTCTCGTTCACTTCCTTCCTCTCAACGAGTGTCAACAAAAAAGTATCCGTGTCTTTCGCTCGCGCTGCATCAGAAAATAGTGACACAGTGGGAATACTTTTCCTCATTCGCATCGATCCCAGCATCCCGGCTCTCGCCTTCTCAAGTTGGAAATTTCGTTTCGCCTTTCTTGTGTGTGTTACCTGGTCAAAAATGAAGAACGCAAAAAGAAGTTGCGCGATGATAGCAGAGAAAATTGTCTACTTTGTGGTGAGGTAAAGGGAAAAAACACACAAAATAAGTCGCAAATAGCAGATAAGAAAAGACTATAAGAAGAAACTAACTTGGTAGGGTGCCTCAGAGGAGTATCATATACTACAGAGAAAAAAGAAACATTTGATCTCAAAGTGTTACAATGGACGGATGCCTCAATGACTTCATTCGAACGGCGGAAAGTTCTCTGTCACTGCTCGGAAACCTGGTCGACGACATCGAAGCACATCATACCCGGTGCAATGTGGTCAAAACAGCGGGCACAACGGCTTCAGTGGCTGGTGGGGCGTTGACCATTGTCAGTATTGGTGCAGCTTTCTTTACTGGGGGCCTCTCCCTTGTGGCACTCGCTGGTGCTGGCGCAATTACTGGTGCGGCAGGAGCAGTGACGAACTTGGGAACAGACGTTGTTGACCTAATTTGGACAAAGAAGTACTCGGTCGAGTTAGAAGCAATCGACATTCGACTACAATATGCGGCAAAACAATTTGCCGAGTATGTGGATCTTATTGAAGCTGAAGCGGCACGAATTTTCAAAACAAATGGAAAGAATGAAGAAGAAGCACTTATGGAGGCTTTCTGGAAGCTGGCAAAAGATGGAAAGTTAGGTTGGGATTTACGTTCCAAATGTGTGGATATCAACAGCAAAGTTGGAGACATTGCGAAGAATGTGGGACGAACTTCTGGATCCACGGTTTTACGAAATGGAGGCAACGTGTGGAAGGGCATGCGACTTAACTCTTACACGCTCGCGTCCGCATTCAAGAAAATTGGCTTTGATGTTTCGCGACGTGCAGCGTTCAATGTGGTGCGAGTTGGCACACTCGCTCTTAGTGCGGTTTTCATTGTGTGGGACATCAAATCTTTGGCTAATAGTCTTGACAACGATCACCCCGCTGTCGGACCGGTGAAGACGCAAATTGAAAAGATTCGAGAACTATTGGGAAATTTGAAAGAACTCAAACGGTCGTGTGATTTTTAAGTACTAACACGTTGTGTGAGACATATTTTTTTGTAAACTTTGATTCATGTCCTATAAATAGTATGGAAAGTAAACTGTGTTTGTCTGTTACTGCTTCTGTGTCGATAGAAAACGAAAAACAAAAGAACAGTACTTAAAAGGCAGACTTTTGAAAAGATCTGAAGCAAATTATGACTTCAGAAAAAATTTCCGGCTTTCGGACTAATTTCCTCGCCGTGGATGACTCTTCGAAGCAAAAAGAGGCGTAGATCACGATCAGTTTACACTGTCAAAAAAGCGAGTGGCTCCCTTATAGAGATCGAGCTTCCTGGGAAGGGAGTCATCCGTGGTTCGATATAATAGTTAGCTTAACAAAACAAGTGACGGAATCAGTAAAGATAATCACAGGAATCTGTTTTTCCGCTTTCCAGTAAAAGGTTAACGAAGTCGACATATGCGAAACTACCCACGAAAAGTTGACGAACTATTCTCTTGGAATAGGAATTTCGTCAAACAAGGAGCTCGCACATTTTGTAGAGCAGAACGCGGGCTAAAAGATCAGCAGGGTCCCGTCAAGTGCGACGAAGAAAAAAAATTATTTTGTGGTCGGTCGGTACATGGGTCCGTGGGTGGACCAATGCAAACGAAAATAGTTGTCCGATTGACCTGATACCATAGTCGGGTTCATCTCGTCACCAGGATTCCAAACGACTATAGTTTATTAGGGTTTCCATCTATCCTTCGGTAGATCAAAGGTAGGTAATATTCGTGGGCGATATCGCGCTTCCGAAAGCCAAAAATTTCACTTTTCGTTCCTGAACCTTCTAATACAGTTTTGTATACCTAGAAATACTCGCTGTTTGAAATTCTACGATTCTCATGGATTCATCGTGATCCAGGGCTTCTCGGAACGAAAAGTCAAATTTTTGGCTTCCGGAAGCGCGATATCACCCACGAATATTACCTACCCTTGATCTCCCGAAGGATAGATGGAAACTTGAAGAAATTATAGTGATTTGGAATACTAATGACGAGCTGAATCCGACTATGGTATCAGGTCAATCGGACAACTATTTTCGCCTACATGGGTCCACCCACCTGACCCATGTACCGACCGACCGCAAAATAATTTCGTTTTCTTTATCGGACTTGACGGGACCCTACTGATCTTGTAGCCCGCGTTCTGCTCTACAAAATGTGCGAGCTCTTTGTTTGACGAAATTCCTATTCCAAGAGAATAGTTCGTCAACTTTTCGTGGGTAGTGGCGCATATGTCGACTTCTGCCTCCCCCACTTAGGGGGGAAAGTTTTATTCTTTTATCGTTCCGGTACGCTGCAGCGTTCGTTGAGTTTACATATCGAAACCGGATCACTTGGGAAAGTCTTAGATCTTAGAGAAGAATTCAATAGAAAAATGTTTCTGGCGAAATTTTTCGATGATATCAGGTATGTCCACTTTGAGGTTCGATTTTCTCCCTGACACTGAACGGATATTGATAATATTATTTCAAGTTAGTTGTCAGAATTTTATGCTCTACAAAGCTGAATAGTTTTCAAATCGATCCAAAGAGGTTACATAACCATGGTTTACCTAGCATGGAACACCCCCGGTTTAGAGAGTTACACGGTGTTTCGGCAAAACCCATACGAAGAAAATCCAAAAACAAAAAATTTGGAACAAACCTAGAGCAATCCAAACACAAAAAATTAACATTTCATCAATAAAAGGTATCTAAAAGTTTTGTAAGCAAAAGCCCAGCATTTGTGTTATCTTGGTCGATTACATACATTTCTGGTTACAAACCACTGAAGTTAAGCGAAAAAAGGACTTTAAAAAACATTTTTTGAGGAAATTTTTGAATTTTTGTGCGAGAGATTCGCCGTATGTAAGTATTTTTTTAGAAAAAGGGCTGCTGAAAACCAAACGCTATTCAGTAGTTTGCCGTCTGAAAAAAAAAAAAACATTAATACTACCCTAGACTAAAGCTCTAGATTTTCGATTTTGGGATTTTCGTCGCCTGGATTTTGGATTTAGAAATTGTTCATTACGGATTTTAAGACATGTTCGAGATTTATTCACATGGCACATTTTTTGACGAAAAATTATTGAAATCAATTGCTTTTGAATATCAAAACATGGATTTTTTTGATTGTTGATGAATAGTTTTCCATATGAAGAAGACAATGTACATTTTCCATGTCAAATCTATGTTTCATCTATTAATACTTTCTCGTAAAAACGTGTGTACCACATTAAAAAATCAGGATTTTTGTTTCTTTCTGACTTTTGTTCTCGTCCTAGATCTCCAGCTGAAAAACTTTTTTCTTGAATTATTCGAGCCCGAAAAAGTTTAGGATACGTTTCACCAGAAAACCGAGAAATTCTCAACAGGGCTATTTAATGCAAAAAAATTGACCCCCACTTTTTATTACATATTCGGAATCTGCATGCAAAGTGAGGTTATGAAAACATTTTGAGCCGTTTTCGACTTATTTTGACCGAGGTAGGCCCTTTTCAAAGTGAGCAGATCGGGAGAACCCGGAAACCCTGTGACTATGGATATTCTGCGTTTTACTCC